TTCAAACACATTAATATATTTGTTAGAAAAAGCTATAACATTCAAAACCAATATCTAAATAGCATCAGTCATTGATGCCTTTTGAAGATGAACAGTTCATTCATCACTGAGATGAACTCAGCGATTATCAAGGTTCCAGTATGTGAAATGTTTGTCTATAAATAAATTACAGAGTCAGAGCAAAATTCATGCAAGCTTCAGAGCTAGCGTTGAACTGGTAGTCCTATGTCACATGATGAATGAGTCTGACTTTCAAGCTTTGGCACTAAACTGAATCCATTCCACGTGAGAACGAAGAAGAGAAGCCAAGGCCCATTCCCCTCTGGGTGTGAGTCTGAGAACGAGCCATCTCATACTGAACGTTCAGGTTCCTAAACATCTCCTCCTGCTTTTGAAGCGTCTTTATCCCATCATCATTCAGTGGTTTAGAAACGTCAGCTTCATCGTCCTCTCCCTGTACAGACAGTGGCTCTTGATTAGTGGTGAAAGCAATGTAGGATTTTTTCTGGGGTAATCAAAAATGCAAATATACTCACTTTGATACCCATTAGTTTGCGAAATTTAACATTTTGGTCCTTGTTTCCAAAATTTAGCTTCTCCCACAGTTCAGCCGTCTGGGATTTGTCCTGAAAAAAAAAAAATGAACATTGGTAATCACTCAAGTAATTAATAATTTATCTGGTCACTACTTATCAAATATTTGCACATACTAAGCCTGCATTGCAGTGGGAGATAAAAACAGAATCACACAAAAATTGTATCATACCCCTTCTTTTTTTCCTTGCCAGAGTAGTTTTCTTTTTTTCTCCTGCTCGGCAAATTTCATGGGGTTTACGGCAGATGGGTTGTAGTAACTGGGCACAGTGATACCAGTCTGTGCTAGTGCCCTTGCTTGGAGAGCTGCCATTTGTGCTGCCATGGCAATCTGAGGTGTCACCTGTGTCCCAGAGGCCAAGAGGGTCACCACATTGAGGGCAGGGTTTGTGGAAGCTGCAGCTGCAGCAGCAATAGGGGCTGCAACTGGAAGAAAAAGAAAAAATGAAGGCACTGACAAACGAGTCAAGCTCTCAGAGAGTTTGCATTAATTAGGTGCTTCTTACCAGCAGCTATCTCCTGTTGCTGCTGCTGCTGTTTGTCAAACATATCTTTCTCCTTCTGCTCCTGGAGTTTCTTTGCTCGCTCCAGTCTAAATTGAGATCATGCATTTTACTTCACAGGTTAAACGCAATTAAAACAAAAGAAACTTGGTAGTCACAATTTTAGGAATAACAGTAAATATAAATGTCAATACAGGAGACATTACCTTCTGGCCAGAGCCTCCTGGGCATCCATAGCTGTGTTACGGCCCCGGAAAACAGGTGGACTTGCAGTCCGACTCTTTGGTCGTACTTTTTCAATCCTTTTCTTCCGCTCTCTGTTAGAACTTAACATTTAAAAGAAAAACTGGTTAACAAAACAATTGTTTTAAAAGATTAAAACTTAATAAGATATGCTGCATTTTCAAACACAGCTACCTGCTTTTGCTGCGGCTTCTGCTGTGATGATGGTGTTTGGTCCTCGAACCTGAGCGTGACCGTGCCTTGTTCTTTTTGTCTCTGCTATGTGAATGTCTTTTTTCCCTGCTTCGACTGTGATGCCGCCTATAAAGACACAGACACAGACGTTTATGTATGGCATGGGTTTATTTATCTGGCTTAATGATAAAAAAAAAAATATCACTTACCTCTCCCGTGAGTGTGACCTTGACAAGCTCCTGCCCTTGGCCGGTCTCTTATTTTTGCCCCTGGTTCGCTCCTCTCCATTCTCTGCTAAAAGTCTCTCTTGCTGCTCCTCTATTCGTTTGTGTGATTTTGGTGGCTTCTCCAAGTCCCTCCTTCGTGCCTGTATTAAGAAGAAGTTGTCTCTTTCAGGAAAATAGTGCAACAAAAAGAGTTAGTACCAAGGCTGAAATTCTGACAGTCTTGTCATTTCAACTTCGGTAACAAACAATATCATACACATACAATACCATTGTCAGAAAACAAATGTATGGGAAATTGACAAAAATGAACTGAATCATAAGCAGGAATTAATCAAACCAGGATATTTGAAATATCTTGCATCTCTGAATAGCAAGAACACAAATCCCTGAATGTCAAAACATTTTACCATAATACTTTAAGCTAAATACCTTTTACTTACAGTCACTAGTTTTACTACTACACATCAGGGTGTTTGGACAGTGGTTACAAAGACAATTTAATTGCAAATTTTAACCCAGGGTAGAAAAAAAAATTGGATTTATTATAAATAAAAATAATTGTGCCAATCCTTACTTCAAGAGATGCAAGAGCACTCCAAATTCTCACGGTTCTCAAGTGTTAAACAAGTAGGAGTTTAAATTGCAGTTACCTGTCCCCGTAGTAGGCATATTATTTTACTATGTCAGCAGGGTCTTCTGTTCAGTCTCTTCATGCATTAGCACACTGAGTATGATTTATTGTAGAAATGTTATCATGTGATCTATGCACAAGGTGCAAATAAAATAAAGCTACTCTTTACCATATGATCCTGTTATAAATAATAACACGCATCTTAGAATGGGTGGGTTATAAACTGCCCTGTTCCAGTCAACAATCTGTGTTTTTTAATTCTTAACTTGGGTTACATACTGTATCATAATGTATATAATACAATCACCTTGTCCTTAAATTAACAAAGACTATAGCACAAACCCTGAAAATAACTAAGACATGTTTTAAAATCATAACATTTAATTAATAATTTACCTCTTTACTCCTGCTTCGACTTCGTCTGTGTTTTCTTTCACCTGGGAGAAAACAAATAGCCATAATTTAAAATATTATTACAAACAAATTTCTTGTAATTACAGGCAAATGACCTGTTTAAATGGAGAACTATGTTCTTCTAAAAATCCAAATAACACAGATATGAACACAAATACACCGAGACATTATCCAGTGGACATGTTCTCTCATATATTAGGCAATACTAACGTTTACGATCCCTGGAGCGTGATCTTGATCGTGAATGGTGATGTTTTGAGCTTCTGGGAGATCTTGTGGACTCCATGTTGCCTTTATGTGGTAAACAGAGGAGCTTGATCTGGTCAGGTCAACTGAGTCATCACTCGTCTGAAAACAAAATCAGTAACAGGTAATCAGTTTAGCATATGGGTTCTTATCACTATTATTGACAACTAAACATTTAACCTAAAATATAGTTGATAACTAATTGATTATTGTATTAAACAGTTATGTTAATTTTATAAAATATGTAATCCCGTCGGACACGCTTGCATGGTTACATTCATAACATAATCATTATCAGCTTGCATGTATATGAAACATCAAACAAACATATCGGCCATTTAGTCTTTGACTTGTTACCAAATGCCTTCGGTTTGAATTCAGTCTTTACTAAGCAATTACACAATTACTAAGCAAATGTCATCGAGACGTAAATCTAAATATAGACACCAAAATTACTAACAAAATCTTTCCGTCTGGCCAAGCTTCGCTAAAAAATGTCAGTCCAAACATTTAGCGTAAGCTAGGTTTTAGAAGCTAAGAGAAGAGCAGCGCCATCTTTGTTAGATTATGATAAACGAATCATAGTGCAAACTTACATAAATACCGCGTATGTAATATATAAATAACGTGAATTTGGTGGTATTTACACACTAGTACTTACTGGATTGATTCAGAGGGCTCTGTGGTTACATACTTCCGCAAATTCACAATGTTTAGACGATGAAGGAAAAGCAAAGAGCTACTATTGTAGACGTCAATCGGTTTCTGCTCATCTTCTACTGTTTAGCTGAGCGTTGGTTGACAAGTACGAGAAATGACTATTATCGCCACCTATTGGAGTGGCAGAGTCAAGTGATAAAGTACCGTAATACGACCGCTGCAGTTAATCTGTTAATATTATAAAAGTGGCCTTAACTGAGGATTTTAGAAAATACATTAAACAAATTAATAATTTTAATTTCAGTTAGTTTTTATTGTCATTTAGATATATTGGGGAACTTTAGGGAAAAATAAATAAACAAACTGATTTTACGTAACCGTAAATTAGGAGTACTTTCTGGTGCGCACCTGAAACCTTTTGCCAGATATCTCATACAAGGGATGCGCTTTTTTGTTCACTCTGCGAATGAATCACTCCCTGCGAATTAATCACTCACTGCGAATGAATCACTCTCTGCGAATGAATCACTCACTGCGAATGAATCACGCTCTGCGAATTAATCCCTCTCTCCTTCCTCCCGCGAGTTATCGGGACGCTCTTGTCGGTTCCGTAGTGTAGCTGTTAGTACGCCAGCCTCTGAAACAGAACGCAGAGTACCTCAGGTACACGTTCTTTTGTCACGTGACACCCGACATAAATTATTTATTCATGAAATCATAATTAGTGGTTTTCAGCTCTGGTAGATGTATATGGCGTTATTGTGTAAAGTGTGTTTGTAATTAAATATTTTCGAAAATTATATCAACACATTTAGTGTCGGAGAACCACAGCCTTCTTTACAACGCCCACAATAGTGCTACAGCACCACCTGCTGTAAAATTAATGAAATGATTAGTTCAAGATTCGTTCACGACTCGTTCATTTTACTGTTCGAGAGTCAAAGATTCGAAGGTTGAAGTTCCCAACACCAGTATTTAGGCAGTGACTCTAAGGCTGATGAGGTAAATGTTGACGTCCATATTTGACACATCGCAGGAATGAGGTGATTGACAGGATGATGGTGGTGTTTTTTTTTTCCTGCAGGTTCTCAGAGGTCCTCATCTCTCCTCTTCTGGTGTTTCCAACTGGAGTGTTGTTGTTGTTGTTGACAAGAGATTATCTTATTTGACCAGACCTACCAGAGTGTCTGTCTGATTCTTCACTTAGAAATTGTTGTGGCCCTCTGGCACCCCGGATTCGTTGATCGATCTCAAACGGTATTAACTAAGAACTTTCATAAAGTACAAAGAAAAGACAAAAGTCGTTGCTCGAGTTCGCCTGTGCACAGGGAGGATCCAACGGAGAGTCAGAAGACTAACTGCTGAATTCTGCCCCTTCACATGATCAGGCTCTGTTTATTAGCAGACCCTCACCTAAAATACACAGATGTTGCACGTCAGATTGACATCCTGTTTGTTATCATATTTGATAAATGATCTTATTGTTCTTTGTTTTCCACACTCACACTGGCTTCCACTCAGAACCTGGTTATTGTCACGTACACCTCCTGAGCTTCTGCCACAAGGTCAAGGCCTCTCCTGTCGCATCAGCTGTTTCACTACACATCCTGAGTTTAACTTAATTCCTGTTTCAGAGTGTCTGTGTATTTTATATTGCAGGATCCAAGCAGCATGCTTATGCTTCCACGTAGATTACATATTTGCACATTTTCCAAAGCATGTTTATATGCAATACATTTTATATTTTCCACAAGCAGCATGTTTATATTTTAGGCAGGTTATGTTTTAGCGCATCTCTTATGATCTTTTAAAACATGATTATATATGTTGCATACTTCTATAAAATATGAACACGTGAATACATTTCATCCACAATATAAACACGTTACTTAGTTACTTCCTTAGGTCCGAATCACTGTACAATTACAGTGCACTTACTTATAATACGTAAGAATAAATGTTTGACATAAATATTTACATTCCTTACGGATTTTTATCCACATACATACTTAGTTGCTGCAGATTCATTTACTGCACATTCCTGTATCTACTTTAACACACAAAATATAAATAATATCAGAAAGTTGTAACGTTCTACAAAATTCCTCCTTCAGCTCGTCCTTAGTAATCCACTTAAATCTCCTTTTCCAGAAACTGATGTAAATGCTATTGACATTTGTCTGGATGGACAGTTTCTGTTGGTGTGTGAAGGAAATCGAAATCTTCATCTCGTCCCACAGAAAAGAATCCTTCTCAACAGGGTATGCATTTTTGAATTTTTTTATAAGATGTGCTAGAGCATTATTGCACTTTATTATGCTAATGTTTCCTCTGTTTTTTAATTTATTTATAAACAACACTTCATAGTGTATAAAAAGTTTTTTTTTTTCATCATTCGTTAGTAATGTGGTAAAAGTAGTCATCTTTTAGCTGTCAAAGGTTTTACATGTTTTATATTGTGTCTTTTTGGTGTGTTTTAGGCTTTGGTTGAGAAGCCATTGCAACGGGCGTGCTTTGTCTTCAACAGTTTAATATCGCGTTGGATGCACGTCCATTAACCCTAAGTCCTGCGTTGTGTTCTATGTTGCGCTGGATGAAAGAAGGCCTCGAACCACGGCCAGCTGTTGATTGTTCTTTTAATGAAGGTAGAACGGTGGATTTCTGTACAAATCAACAGAAAACACAAAAGGCTCTGTAACATGCAGTCTCCTCCACACAGCACACAGGTCTCAAGCTCCTCCTCTCAGCTAGTCTGGCGCGAACTCCACATACATACATGACTAATACAACTTTTTTGTATTAATAACAAAAATAATTTAAAATAAAAACGTGAAAATAAATTATCAAATGCTCAATGTATTTGATAACATGAATTTATTTTACATGCCTAATGCAACCTGTGTAAACACATGTGAAAGCCATGCCAAATGAATCACAATAAACAATGAACATACCTGTACAAATCAATAGAAAACACGTAAGGCTCTGTAACATGCAGTCTCCTCCACACAGCACACAGGTCTCAAGCTCCTGTTAGCAGATAAACATACAGAAGACCAGCGTGTGGAAACATGTCAACTTGCAAAAAGTCCGTTTACAATATGTATCTTTAATTGACACATTAACTGCATGTTCACAACCTAAAAATTCACATTTATACGTGCATAAAACAAGATTTGAATTGTCCGAAAAAATCCAAACAAATGTTTAAAAATGACGAGCAAAATAATACATTACCACCTCTCAGCTAGTCTGGCGCGAACTAAGAGAAGCACCCGGAAGACCGCACAAGACTTGCGACCTCTTAAAGCGACAGTACATGTATTAACTCTTTGGTTTGAATACAAAGTAAAGATATAATTTCAACCTGGTTACACCATTTTATAGAGACAAGAAAACATATTTATATCTCATCATCGAAGAGGACAAAGCATCTTTAGGTTAACTTGGTTTATTGTGCTAAAATGTGTAAAAAGATTTGTCTGTCGATATCAAAATATTTATACTATAAGATTAATTAATTATGTTGACTCTACTTGGGGCACTTTGGCCCAGAGGCAATGTCTCTGTCAATGGTGTGGAACCTTAGGGTTCACTTCCTGGGCAAGATCAAATCCCGGTTAGGGCAGTTAATACCTTCCAGTGGTAAGGTTCGGGAAGGTTCAGGGGGGTTGGTACGGTGCAGTGTGATTTGGGCAGCAGTCATGGAGACTGCTGTCCCCGTGACCTGGTAACGGATAAGTGGATGAAAATGGATGGATGGATGGATGGATAGATAGATGGATGGACTCTACTTTACAGGGATGTATAATGTGCTTCTTGTCATTAATGATGATTTTTTTTCACATTACAAACCATGCTTTGGCCAAGATTGAAACAGGTACAAAAAACCATCAACGGGTCAACATCAACATTCCTTGGAGTTTCATTAAAAAACATGTTTTTTTTCCAGCCATTGAAAAAATTGAACTGTGCATGTTGAGAGAGGTGTGTTAAAGTTGTATTCTAATGATCTTAGTATACACATGTTGGCAACAATCAATTCTAACTAGTTTAAATGCTCAATGGCTAAAATTCCATTAAGTTTTATTGCACTCGCAGTTGTGCCTCACTGCTGTGTGAAAAGAAACAAAGGATGTTGTAATTGTGCATCTCAAACCAACCACCTGAAGTGAAGATGTAAATTAAAACAAATATGTGATGGTTTTTCTTCTCAGGGGGACAAAGACAAAGTTATACTGTGGTATGAAAAAGTTTGGGCACCCCGATCATTTTCAAGATTTTCCTTTATGGATCATTGGTTGTTCAGAACAGCAATTTCAATTAAATATATCATATACCAAAGACCTCTCCTTGAACCGCAACCTTAACGT